CTGAGCAGACCACGAACCCCACAATATCCTGTCTTCATAATACCCCATTCATTATGCACATTCAGATAAAAAAGCGTGAGAGAATACAAACTGCAAACTTAGAAAACCGAAGGTGGAGAAGTGATTTGTGTGCTGCAGGTGCAGAACAACACGGTGTATTCTTGGCCATTTTTCGATTCCCTTTCTGAAAGTGAGGCCCGCCTAACATGTGTGGCACAGAAGGATGCCAGTCAACTGAAACTTTAATTAACACAGCGCTGCTATCAGCACCACTGCTAATTCAGTGGCTTTAGTAATCACTACACTACAGCAAAGATACAGCAGCCAGAGTATCGATCCGCCCACCCACCAGGCTCATGCTCCGCCATGTTTCGCCCCTGACTGATTTAATTCCAGCCACGGTCTGATTTATAGCTCCTCAAGTCCAACACTTTCCTTCAGCCTCCGGTGTCTACCACTCTTTTTTGCTCCTGGCTCTCTCTCTCTCTTCTGTGTTCCAGCCAAACCTTTAAAGGTGAAGAGAGCAGAGCGCACTGACAGACTGAGATTTTTACAGGGTCTGTGCCCTTTCATGGGAACACAAAGTACAAAGGGGAGGGGGACAGAGAAAGATGAGAGGTGATTATATTCAGGGACAGCCGCTTCACCCTTCCTTTCTTATACAACAAAAAATCAGCTGACACAAAACTTACAACAGATTGGTTTACATGTTGGTGAGTAGCAACCCAACCTGATAGTTACAAGGAAATCCCACAATATTTCTAAACAAGCTTCTTTTTTTTTTTTTTTACATCACAAGCACTGTAGCATCCTCTTCCTTATACTTCAGAAGTGTAAAGGAGTGGCAGGTGTCGTTGCACGCCTTCTTGGTTTGCTGATCATTTGGGCTACATTCATTCAGCTTGCAGGCCAGATATTTTTAACTGATTACACAACTGCAGATGGTAACATTACCAACTCTTTACTTCCGAAACAACCATTTGCTGAACAACAAAAGATAATTTTTTAAGTTCAAAGTTTAACCACGATCGTTATGCTAATCCACGTTTAAAGCTATTTCCATTCTGTGTTAGTGTAAGCGAGGTGGGTGTATGTGAAGGAATAAATCAGTCCAAACACGTTCTGGGTCTTTCTCATAACTTTAGTCAGCTTCTCCGACACACGGTACATTTCACAACCTCCCTTCTTCTTCTCTTTCTCTCCCCTCACTACACAGCTCACTCCTGCCTGAACAGCGCCCACTAGGTGGCCTACATAATAACAGGATATTAACATTACTGTAAACACTTGTAACCAACATTATAGCAATCATTTAAGAACATACTAAAGTTATGTCTGCATAGAGAAAGAACATAATAAACATATGTTTCTAACTTATTTGCATATCCCATTTTCACTCTTACATTAGCATCAAGCTAACTGACTAAGTTAAACACCCTGGTGAATCTGTGAGAAATTGCAATAATAGTCCAGTCACTAGTGCTTATAATTAAAATGTTTCTCTTTTTTTAATGGTTTGTAAAGGTTTGAGCACAATTGTCTCACATAAAGTCTGAAGCACTGGAGTAAAAAAATGGTATCCATTTTTCTTTGAGGTTTAAAAGGTCTTAAGTTTTAATTCTAAAAAGTGTACAGCAACCCTGAACATTAAATGAAACCTTTTAAAAAGAAGAATACATTTTAATATGACAGATCATTTTTTATTAAAGATAAATCATCACTGTCTCTTAACGTTAGTGGTTTTCAGACTGTTTCCACACTCTAGGCATTGTCTTTAAATTCTCTCTTCTGATGCTTAAATCAATACATCATGTAGATTGTTATGTGTTTTTTTCATTGAGAAATTACTCCGCAGTTTAAAGCTCCTGTGAGGAACTTTTGGTTTCAGTCTACTTTGGCACCCCCTGTGGGGAAAAGCAGTAAGCCACACTTATTGTTGATTTTATCCTGTACACGAGCAGGTAGTTGTTCTGTGATGAAAATTCTCCTCCTCCTTTCGATGGTCAAATGTATCGCTCAGCTCATTTTGTTTTTTTGCTGAGGAATTTAGAAAAAAAGCTGCTTCTTCATTCTCTGAGCTGTAAACCCGCCTCGTCTGATACCTACCCCATCGCAGCTCTTACAGGCAATAAAAATAACTGTAGAAATAGTCAAACTTGTCGTAACTGCTCTGGTTGGCTTTTGTTGTTAAAACAGAGGCATCAGTATTAATTTCAGTCCGTTTTTAATTTGCTAAAAAATGCTGACAGGAGCTTTAAATTAATGAACATGCTTGGCTTGTAACGGATTTAGCATGTAAAAATGGAAAGGTTATCTATGCTAATGAGGAGTATAGTAAAGGGAGTGTGCAGGAATAAATGGGATTCGCTAATCAAAGTGTTAAAGGGAAAGCAGTGAACGGAGACAACAAGTGCATTCAAGCATTCACTGCAGTGATGGCCAACATCCAGAACGCGTTTCCGGCAGAGCAGGCCTCTCTGTAATTGCCGAGTTTTGAGTTCTCGCTTCCTCACTTTGTTCAACCTTCGTTTTATTGCTTCCTCTCCTCCTTCTCAATCTAGAGGGTTTTTTTTATTTAGTCTTTTGCTGTTGGGCTTTTGGCATAAAGCAGCATGCCCTGCACAATAGACCCAATTATGGCTGGCTTCACTGATAAGTGCATCACTGCTGCAGGTGGAGGTGGAGGAGGTGACGCTAAATATCAAGGGTGGCCGCTCCAGAGGCCTAAAGTAATTGCACTGCGGCAGCGGAGGAGAGGAAGGAGAAACAGAGATGCAGAGCCTTTTTCTTTTTCTTTTACAAATGTCTCCTACTTGATTTTAACCACTGTTCCTGAGTCCTTGAAATCCTCCTTTTTCTTTTTTTTATCTTTTCCAAGTCAAGCACCACTTGACTTTGTCAGGAGCGTAAGATCTCAGAAGCCATGGGCGATCAAACAAGCTGCCAATCTTCTAAAAGGACTTTGGACTAATTGTTTTATTGATTGTTGACGGATTAGTCTTTGTGGGCACATGAGCATGACGGCTGATGTTGACAGCTGCCTTATTTGCATCCTCTGAATCATATGCCGAGTGGGCACAAAGCGAACCTGTCTGATATTCAAAACAGAGCAGTTAATCAGCAACAGTAAGCTCACTGAAAACAGTGAAGAGAAGAGAAGTTTCTGCCTCCACAAGGCTAAGATGGGCTGCAAAAATACGTCCAGACAGGCAGCCAGTCACAGCTTACAAAGTCAAATCCCACTGCTAGTATGCCAAAAAACATGGGTGGATAAGGCGGTGGGGGGGGGAGTTGGTAAAGACCAGTAGAGCAAATAATCAGCAGCCCCCGGCCCCCGGCATTCAGAGATGCCTTCTATAATCCTTGCTGCTCGGAGGAAAAAAATCACCTTGAATCATTGTAGACAGACAGCTCCAGTCGGTATAAAAAGGACAGGTAATGAGGGGGCTGATTGAACAAAAACTAAGTGGTCAAAGTACGTCTGACCTCTTGCTTGTTTCATTAAGCAGCCAATTCTGTCTCACAATGAGACGAGATATGTGACCTTCAGTGCTCATCAACATTCATCAAATACATGCAGTGGTCGTTTTCCTCTGATGTTAGCATCCAGTCAAACTGCTCCGTTGAACAATGCACACACCTGTCAGTCAGCTCAGCCATGCCCCTAAAAATCCAAATTAATGCAAAAACTCTTCGCTGTAATATAATCAAAAATGACCCCCTCAGACTTTACCGCAAAGAAATGAGCTGTTGAACCAAAACTTTGAACCAGGCTATAAACATGTTTATTTATGCTGCAAAAAACAAGTATAATGGGACTGATGGGGATTCCTTAGCTTTTGCAGCTAGCTTAAAGTGGACACGCGAGGAACTGCAGTTTTTTTTTTTTTGCAATTCTGCATTGGCTTCATTGCAGGCCCCTTGGTGCCACATAGGAGGGTAAATCAACATGTATATATGACAGCTAAGTCCCATAGAAAGTCACTTAGCTTATCTATGTAGCTTAAGTTTTACTCAGACGGTAAACATTTCCATGGTAACCAATCAGAAACTGTGTAGTTTTGGTTTTTTAAACCCAAGATCACGAATAAACCATGTTTCTCTTAAAAGGAGGTTGATATTGTCTGTCTTCTACAGGAGCATATACCATCATTTCACACTCAGGTCGCTGGTGGTAAGTCTACCTTGGATGGTTATGACATTATGGCCAATAATCAAATGGAGATAATGAATGGGATTTTTACAGAGCATTTGAGTTTAGTCAGATAAAAATGGTCACGTGGGAAGAAAATGAATGCAGGTGTTGCTTGGTGATTAGCAGAACAGCCTGAAGTCTTTGCCATTAGATCCCTCAGCCACAAAATCTATATTGCAAATTGGTTCAAATGTGGCTTCAGCATCTTCCCTCATTCCCTATTCTTCCAAGATGCCCTTACTTTGCAACAGGCTTTTTTTTGTTTACCATCATTCTCACATTCTTGAAAGCAGGATAAATAGCTTTCCTCTCCCGCAATCTAATTTATGAATAGGCGCTCCTACCCTCCACTTCCAATCCTCTGCTTTAAAACATGTCTCCATACAGGCCTGTTCATTCCATTAGTTCAACCTGTAGGTATCTGAGAGACGCAACCCATGTCTTCCAGAAGTCAGGATTACAGCTGTGAGCACCCCCCCCCCCCCCCCAACACAAAATTGTCCCTAATGAGTGTCAACATGAACTACTTCAGCTGCATGCTGCGGTTGTTGGTGCAATAATACAAGTTCATGCGTGATCTTGTCTACTGTTGCACAACAATGGTTAACATTCATACAGATATTTACTGATCATGTAGTGACTACACACAGAACATTTCACTGTGGCAGTTTCCTCTCCATGTTAAGTGTGGGAAGACGAATCATTTGAAACCCCAACATGCGCAAAAGAAAGAAAAGAAACAAATAGACCATCCAAAAGCGCATTCACTGTCGGACGAACGTGCAAGTTACGGCACATTTCTTACCTTTAGAGTTTGAAGGGTCCCATACTCTTCTAGAGGAGGCTTCAGTGATAACAGTTGTAGAGTGAGCACTGAGATGAAAAAACGTTACATCACAAGCAGGAACTCAAAACGCGTGTGAAGGCGACGAAGCAGGGACACCAGGTCAAGAGAGAGGCACTCATCAGGAGACGCTCGGATCCTTCTTCAGAGTTGCTGCAGACGCTCCTCTGACTGAGCTATGCGGGTTTTTTTTTTTCTTCACGGCACATTAACCCAACAAGTCCCCCTCCTGGCGCACTTTATGCAGCAAGTTGTGGAGGAGATGTGTGTGTTGGTGTTGCAGTCATCTGGTCGCAGCTGGACCGCGTACCAGCTTTCTGCTCGGGTTCCAGCTGTGCAGCTCGCACACACACACACACACACACACACACACACACACTGCGGAGCCACAGTCCCGCCTGTTGGTAGTATCACAGCAACACCACAGCCTGTGCACATGCTGGATGTGTACGAGCTGCTACGCACCATCACGCACCACAACAATCAGTCATTATGTTGGCTGCTCTGCGACATCGATGCGACATGCCAATCTAAATAACTTCTTTCTACTCTGTGCACTTCCAGTTAAAAGATGCCTTCAAAGACACCTCATGAACTTAAGAATTGTAAACATTCCTGCATGTGTTCAGATGCTTTGGGCTGAATTACTTATTTTGTTTTATTCATTAAAAATGAAGCAGGCAGCCGCTGCAGTGATACACTGGAAATGATGCATTGATTCATTTTAATGTATTTGTTACTATATGAGTAGATAACTGGGAAATTATGCATTTTTCATCAAATGTTTCATGTGTTACTCGTTTTAAGTAGAGACTGTAAACGCTGCATCGTTGTTCTGGTTCTTGCAACCTCCGTTATTTGACACATGTTCATACATTGCACATACCTGTTGCTGCAGGATGAGGTCTTGCCCCCTTCGTGACGTCACATGATGCATTCAGGTCACGGCGGATGAAGAAGGGCTAAGTGACAAATGAAAAACACGCTGTTCTCTCACAAAAATGCAGAATAAAACAAAATTCAAAAAAAATATTATATAGGCTTGTTTTCTTTTGCATGAAATAAAAATGGTAGGATTCTAAAAACTAAACAAGGTTAAATAAAAATAATAATACAATGTTGGACTAATAATTCCCTTTTTTTACTCACTCTGAATCAAAACAAGATCATTAACATTTTAGGAACTTTATGAAAACTGTAAAAGCATATTTGATTCACCTGGTATACACTTTCACAAAAGCTAAGACTTGTTGTGCAGAAGGATTTATCTTTGGCAAAGACATCAACATCTTTGATCGTATTTAATGCTAGGATTTGTCATTCAAGCGCCTCATGTCAAATTGAAATGGCGCGATTTCCGACTGCCTTTGAAGGCAACATTGTACGGAGTCCTCCCCTACCAGGAAGATAAGGGGAACTTGAAGACACGGTACGGGATTTACTGAACTCTACCCCCGAACTCTGAACTCTGTCTCTCTCTCTCTCTCTCCCTCTCTCTCTCCGCCCCCTGCTGACCACCCTTTCCCCTCCATATCACCTCACACCCTTCATCACCCCACCACTCCTCCTGGTCACACACACACATCTCTCATCCATCTGTATTATTGTATTATAGTATGTTCATATTATGTCCATATTCTTTATATTATCTGTAAACTAGTATAGCATGCTCACTGCATCTTAATCTGTATATTATTAGTATAGCATGCTCACTGCATCTTAATCTGTATATTATTAGTATAGCATGCTCACTGCACCTTAATCTGTATATTATAATCCTAAAAATACACTTATATTTATAGCATTTATTTATATTTATAGCATCCATTAATCCAGCCATCCATATATACCTAATAATTCACTTTTTTTAGTCTACATCTGTAAATTTTGTAATTACTGTACATAGCACAGACTCTTGCACTTTCTGCTTATTTGCACTTCTGGTGAGATGCCAAACCTCATTTGTTACTCTATACTTGTATATGTGTAATGACAATAAAGTTGAATCTCATCTCATCTCATCTCAATTCTTTCTCAACACCAACCTGGTCTTTCCCCCGTGCAGGATTCCCCAGCTTGAATCACTCCAAAAACATACACAAGGGGGGAAAGGAGGCCAAGAAAAGGAGGAGGAGATCCTTCACTTTCCCAACATGGACAGCCAGGAGGTGTGCGATTTACTGGAAGAATGTCTCAGAGCAGCAGTTCAAGTCCAGCGGTCCAACCAGCCCACAGAGGCCGAGAGGCTGAACTACTGCAGCTGCAGAGGTCAGACACAAGATGGGGCTGTTCGGTAACATTTCGTTGCAGCAGGAGATGAAGTCAGATTGGGATTTGGGGGAGAAGATTTGGGGCTGGAATTACCAGGAGTTGGAACGATTTTGAAAGGGGGATTTATTTCCTATTTTTAGCTCATGCTTTTTAGAAAACCCGGCTGAGAAGGTAGTTCTAAGCCCTCCTATAAACTCAAACACATCTCTGATGAACTAACAGTTTTCTGTTTTGACTTGTGTAAGACGTGAATCATTTCCTCCTAACACTTGAGTAACTGCTTGATAAAAGATTACCTCATGCTGTCAAAAACTACTCAAACTAAATTGGGAAGTGAGTCCCATTCCAACTATCTTTTATCTCTGGTTTATTTGGCAGGACAGATGCAGTTTACATGGAGAACTAAACAACAATGTTCCAAATTAATGTACTACACCACAGCATTTAGAGCTCATGCAAATCCACTGACTGTCCCTGAAAAGGCCTTTGATATAAAATATATGTAAAATATATGGAGAGCAGGCTTCCAGAAAGAGCTAATCTGTGTTACATTTGGTTGTCAAAAAGTTTCAACAGCCAACACAAATGCCTACACATACTTACATAAACAAACAACTTTAGCAAATGTGGCAACTCCGGTTTGATTTAAGTAAGTAGGAAATGTATTCCATAAGTACCTTTTGCCTTGAAGCGCCCAGAAATTGATATCAAAAATAAACATAAACTTACATTTTGATTGATTTCACAATAGAGTGAATTACAGATATTTTTGAGAGAGGAAACATGTTTTTTTGGTATTTTTTTACACAGTCTTATCGACAGACCTTAAAAATGTAACCTCAGAGAAGCAGCCTCACGACCCCCTGAATCCGTGGTTCTCAACTGGTGGGTCGGGACCCAAAAGTGGGTCTCGAACTTTGTCTGGAAAGAAAAGTGTCAAGAATCTATGAAGCGCTCTTAAAACATGCTGGTTTTGCTCCTTTTCTTGATTTTGTCACATGTTTCGTACCATCTGAGGTCCAAACTGCATTATTTTTCATTCAATAAAACTGATGGGTTGAAATAAATATGCAAAATTTGGGTCACGATTTTCATGAAGGAGTTGGTGGTGGGTCCTGAGGCTGGACCAGTTGAAAACCACTGCTCTAGATGGGCCCGGACCCCAGGTTGGGAACCAATGATCTAGAGCTCTGATCTCAAGATTTTGCAATATTTTTTCGTTGCCTCCACCTTGAAGTCACCCAAAGTTAAAGATTGTAATGTAGTGTATTGTCTTGTGTTTGTATTTGGTCTTTGTCTTCATAGTGTCATAAAAAAAAATATTGACATTATATTCCCTTTTTTTAAACTCCTGATTTCAACATTCAACTTTGCACTTACATATACTGTTACTGGATTCATGAGATTTCTCTGTTGTTTTTTTTACAGACTCGCTGTGTGCAGAACTGGCCTCTCTCCTGCAGGAGGCGATAGAGATGAAGTGGCCCTTTGTGCCCGAGAAGTGGCAATACAAACAGTCTGTGCTTGCAAATGACAAGACCAACCTCAACGACCTCATCAGCAAGCACCTATCTAAGCTACTGGTGATAATCACTTCATTTATTTACAGTTTCCATGTGATTTTAATCAAAGACAATACGTTTGCTGACTGTGTTTAATGTGTTGCCAGGCTCTTTTATTGGCTTCCATTGTGGCTCAGGAGGCATGCATGGCACTGGCGGTCGTCTTTTTAGTCGACCGCTTCCTGTACTGGACAGATGAGTCCAGCCGGCTGCTGAGGATCACCAAGCTGCTCCACAGACAGCATCCCGACACCCCTGTGGCCCCCCAGCTGGTTATACGACAGGCCAGAGTCTACCTTAACTCTGGTATGGCGTGGTAAAGGGAGTGGTTGTGTGAAACATGTGCGGATGATACTCTGTTGATTTCATAGTTTTTATGTGGATCCACTCATGTAGAATTATTAGCCCTATTCAGTCTGCTGTTTCAAGCTGTGATATTTACACCACTGTGACGTTTCCCCTTCAAACTGAATGTCACTGAGGGGTAATGGGTGGGGGGGGGGGGAGTGAACCCCCCTCTGTAGCTTCTTCTGATGTAGTAACAGAAGCGTTCAGCAGGGCAAGCGGGGGAGAGCAGCGCTGTGTGTGTGCATGCTGACCGTGTGTGTATGTAGAGCTCCCTCTTCTGCAATGCCAAAACGCCATGTAAACCCACAGACTGGGACAGTAATGTTACAATGTCGCAGAATCGATATGAAGGTACAAAGACGTGATGATGGCTGAGCTTAGTTACAGCACTTTTGCTCAAGAAGTCTGAAAAAGAGCTAACGAGAATGGAGGAGTGACACATCATGCATCTCTCTAATCATTGTTTTGTGGCGAATGGATTGAGGCAAAGTCGTAATGTGAAAATGCTGCCAATACTTTGTCATGATTACACATTTTAATCAGAGAGATATTAGGTCTCCCTGTACAGCGCTGGATTAATGTTGACATGATAAACATGTTCCTGACAGGCAAACTGCAGAAGGCAGAATACATCCTGAGCAGACTCATTAACAGTAGTGGAGCAACAGGTACGTTCCAGCGATGTCACTGTTTAATGACTTTTAATGAGCATTTTGATTGTTTTCTTATAAGCAATTTTAAAAATCCATACTTACTTTCTCACATAGGTTGCTGGGTGTACCAGTCTGAAAGCGATCGGGCTCTTGTGCAGGCTGTTAGTGTTCAAGTACGGGGGATGGTTTTGCAAAAGCTCGGTAAGATTGTTATCCTGAATGAAAGGGGGGGAAAGTTTCCTCCGCTGATGCATTCACATTTTGTCAATTTTTGTGACCTTTTTATTTTAAGGCCTGTGGTTGGAGGCTTCACAGCTAATCTGGGCCTCTCTCGTCGGCTACTATGCTCTTCCTCAACCTGACAAAAAGGTAGCTCAGACATAACAACAACCTCTGCCACACTAGGAGCTTATAAACATGCACACACCTCTGTTTAATTGCACCTATAAACCTCTGCTCTACATGTTGAATTATTGTTTTAGGGCATTGGAACCTCTCTTGGCATACTAGCCAACATATTGGTGTCAATGAATGATGAGGACTTTCATACGTTTAGGAAGCATCCAGATATTGATTTGGTGAGTTTAGCCTAAATATTGCGTTCCCTTGTATGTTATCATCTTATTTAGATTATAATACCTTGTCTATGTCCGCCTGTTGTTTGGAGCAGTCCTTACTTGGAGACAGAAGTCGCCGTCTTCTTTCTGCAGCCCAGGCGGCAAAGATGGCGGTAGTGTACAGTCAATACACTTCACTCTATGTGTTGACCAATGTGGTATGTTGCTCCTCTCATTACAGCTCATGGTGTCCTATAAACGGCATTAGAAAATGTTCATTAAATCCTGGACATATTTGTTGTAGAAGTTGTAAAAAAAAAAAAAAAAAAAAAAAGGAAAGTTATTAAAAACTATATATGTATCATCAATCAATTATAATTCTTTCCACAGCTCTTGTTCTAATTAAGAAATGAACCATATTTACTGCCAGCCCTCAATACACTTATTTAGTTCCACTTTTGTCCAGTAGGTGGCAGCAGTGAAAGTCATATCACCGGTGTGTCAAATTCCAATCTACTTTTTTATACATTAAAAGCATGAACATAAAACACACAATATATAATAGGCAAAAAAATAATCAATTAGTAAAAATTGATGATTCATGTGATCACTCCGTACAAACCGATTGAGGGGCACGACCTGAGAGCTCACACTGTACGAGTTAAATCAGGATGGAGCATTCACAATTTTCAATAGAAAACTCCCACGGATGGAGGTTGAAGTCAGATCTATGTGTGTTTTAGTTGTCTCATATGCACAGCTCAAATACAAACACCTGCAAAAACACTCTCACAAACACTCAGCATCACTATAAAATACTACATGGGATTTACTAGCGGCTAAATCATAACAAATATTCCCAGTCAGTTGGAGGTCCACAGATATTTCCTGAGTTAATTTATTTTTGAAAACAGATTGAACAGGCATTGCTGAAGTGATTCTGGACGTTTTCGATAAATTTATGCAGGGGCAATCAGGGGAAAAAGCCCCAAAGGGAATCAGATCATGGCTCTGATCTCATTGTGGAAGTGTGTGCATGACTAAAATTTCAAGTGTGCCAGAAAACCATCCCACCGTTCAGGAGCAGCTGATCGGGGGTGTGGTTGGTTGTCTTGCCTCAGTATACACCGCACGACTAATAACACATGATCGAGCTGAATTATGTCTAAATTAGCCTGAAATTGTACAGTGTATGCCTAGCTTAAGGTAGACAGGAAGCGTCCATTTGACTACTTTTCCCTTTTACCATTTTACCTACCTAAAGTACTTTTTCCTCTTTTCCTTCAGGCCACTCAAGGGACCTGCTTGTTGTCTTTCAGTTTCTCAGTGCAGTGCCCTGCCACTCAAAGGCAGTTTTACCTCCTCCAGGCTAAAGAGGCGTTTGAGATCGGTCTGCTAACCAAAGCAGAGGACGAGCTGGTCACCAGCAAGCAGGAACTCCACACATTCCTCAAGGCGGCCTATTCCCTCTCTGTGACTCACAAATGGCTCGGCACTGCTCAGGAGGTTGTGGTGAAGGCAACTGGAGCTTGTCAAAAAGCTTTAGCGACCTTCTACGATTACTGCCAGGCAGATACTCAAGACAAAGATGGCCTCTGTGCTGAAATCATGCACCTCGTTGCTAAAGTCAAGATTCTGTTGGAAGTGAAGCCTTTCCTAAATTCAGACAAGGGGTCTTTTATACCCGACAGCTACAGAAACAATGATGACACATTGGTCAATTTTACATTGGACGGTTTCGCTAAGGTGATGCAGAGGTTCAAAAAGTACCACGCATCACTGTGTGAGACATCCAGCACAAACTGTAAGGGCACCAGTGACAAGATTGATGGGGCAAGGGTATGTATTACTGCACTGGGAACCACCGTTGGTGTTCCAAACACAGAATGCGGCACGGAGGCTTGCAAAGAGTCAACAGTAGCACACAAAGAAGATGAACCACAACAGAAAGGTTCAAACTCATTGGCTGTTCATCCCCTTCCAAAGTCTGACCTGGGCAGCACTTTAGAAATCACGGATAACCTCGGCTCTTCATGGCAGAACTACTCCCTAAGTAGTTCAGGGTCTCCAAGGCCAAGCAACAGCTACACAGGAAGTGGTGCGATTGTATGCGATGCAAATGCAGGCAGTAAGAGCTGTCTGACGACGGAGTTTGATGATGATAGGGATGACAACATGCTACAGTCTGCTGATAAAAAGGGGAAGCGAGACTTGGTGGACTGTAATTCTGGTCTCAGTTCTCATACGGCTGCAATACCTGCGACTTCCTCAAATAGTAGCAGACAATCAGAGAATAAAAAAGTGATACAAACTGATATAGAGACCCTTGAGACTGAGGATTGGATGACTGATGATGTTGGCGTACCACTGAATTCATCACTAGGTGAAGGAGCAGTGCAATCCCTCTCCCAGCTTACTCTCAGAACCTCCTCCAGCTCCCTCGGTAACAGTTTTGGGTCGCAGTCGTCATGGGAGAAAATCTCAATTGACCTGAACTCGCCCTCAATCATAAAACCTCAGCCACGTAGCCTACCAAAAGCTGGAACCAGGCAAGTCAGCAAGTCACAAGAGTCTGATGAGAGCATCTTCCTGTTGGAAACACTAGATTCAGAAACCTCAGATTCCGCAGATGATCTGAATCACAAAAACCACTTATCTGGATTGGAACCCGGAGCCTCGAACAAGCCAAGACCTTTGGAGAGCACACACATTGACCCAAATATGGACACTGAAGTGGACTTTGTATCTGCAAAACCTGCGCCCAAGAATTCCTTGGCAAATCCAATCCCAAAACATTCCCAATTTTTCCCACAACAGTGTGCATCCACTGAAACTTCCACAGAGAGTTCATTTGAGAGGCTGGAGGAGAATCAAAGCGGGAACCAAAGCAGTGAAGATACTTCTCCAGAAAAAGTCAATATCCCTCAGAGCAAGAACCCCATGTGTTACAGCTGCCTTGAGGCCAGCTATAGAGTAGTCCCTGAGAGACAGTATCTGTTGTCACAGCAGGACTACCAAGCCCTACTGGCTGGAGTTTGCCATGAATGTCTTCTGAGGCGATTGCAAAGTGACAAGATACAATTTAAACTCAAGAAGCACAGAACTGCGCACAGTAAGTTTGAATTCTCAGTGGTGATACCCTGGCTTTTTATACACTTAACTAAGACAGCATATGAGGTTAATATTATGTCGTGGTCAAGAGGTAGAGCAATAGACAACCGGAAACAGGGTTGGCAACTTGATCCAAATTTTCTCCTGTCATTTCTTGGTATCCTTGGGCAAGAAATTAAATTCAAATTAGTTCCTGAATGTGGGCCAGGATCTTGCTTAGTAGCTGGCTGCCAGTGTTGTGTGATTGGAAATGAACTGCAGAAACCTTAAAAAGTGCATTTATAGCTGCTCAACCACAGCATGTTAACATTAGGGCTGTGCATCTTTACTGGCCTCATGGTTCAGTTACAATAATCCTGTCAATGATTAAAAATTAAACGAATACACTCCGATGTAACTGGATTTAAAAATGAAAAACCTGACTGTGTCTAAAGGAGTTAAAAAAATAATGTCTGCTAATATCTAAATGTTATCCTTATTAGATGGTCTTCATTTAAAGTTCTCCAAAGCCACAGGGCTGTGGACAGCCCGGGAGACCTGCCTTTACATCGGGGAGCCAATGGGGATGCAGGGCAAGCAGAGAACGGCAATATGGGTGCAGTTTTTACACCAGGAAGAAAGGTTAAGCAGGTAATAAGATGCATATTAAAAAGGCACAACCTAAACAAATGACGTTACCGTTACTTAATGTGTACGTTTATGATCTTAGCTACGTGGGGAAGGACTATTTGAAGCCAAAGGAGGTCCAGTTTCACCTGAAAGATGTGGAGAGACAGATGACAGCCCAGTACTATGTGACTGAATTCAACAAGAGTCTTTACGACAAGGAAGTCATGGCTCAGATCTTCTTCATTCCTTCAGAAGCTCTGTTGGTGAGGACAATCATAAAGATAAAAGATTACAAACAATTACAGCAATTTGGACATCCTCCAGTTACCAATTTATAGCTAGAAATTTCCCCCCATTATAATTGGGTATGGTGCAGGAAAACACCCTAGCCCTTCCAGCGAGGGGCGTTGTCAAACACAGCTCATTTACATATTTAAAGCTACAGACACAGAAACAGCCTGTTCTGAGCAGGGCTGAAATAGAGGGGTGTATAGGCAGGATCAAATACAGGACCAGAGTGGATTTAGAACAATAAACTTCACACACATGTTTTGGGGAGCTCTGAGACTTATTTAAACTGATTGAAGAGGAGGAGAATATGTGACCTTTAAGCGATTAGCTACATTAGGATTAACACGGAGAACAGCAGATAGATATCAAATCTAGATACATTTAAATGAATGCTTTGCATACACAGACAGGCTTTAATAATAACAACATGTATTGTAAGTTCCCTCTTTTTTTATGTTCTAGATTCTGAATGGAAATGAGGTAGTGGGCTGTGTCACAGTGGAGCCCTACATGCTCGGAGACTTCGTCAAACTGACCAACAACACTGGAAAGAAGGACCAGAGTTTCCCGGCAACCGAGTATGGCCTTGCCTTTGGACACTTTACCTACCGGTTTTCTGACTGTCAGGAAGTTGTTGTGGACCTGCAAGGTGTGTGTGCGTCACTGATAAATCAAATTACTCCTTCTGATTTTGTCATTATGAACATTTTAAGCACATCTAAAAATTTGGGATTTTTTTAAGCAATCATCATTATACATTATCTTTCCGCTTTAATTTCCAGGGTGGGTGACAGCCAATGGCAAAGGGCTGACCTACCTTACAGACCCCCAGATTCACTCCACCATGATCCCCAAAGGCCCCTCCAACTTTGCTGCCAGAGGTCTCAGGTATTTCTTAGAAGAGCAACACGGACCAGAGTGCAACGGCATCTGTCAGCTGCTTCAGCTGCCTCCTGTTGGCTGACAGCCACATGTTCTGCCTCAGAAACTATGACTCTTATCTTATATTTGAGCTCTTAAAATGTAACTATCGTGCTGCTCATGCAAATTCCTGAAAATCCAGGTTTACTATTTAACCAAAATGGTCCCAGCTACAATCTTTGGGCTGGACTTGAAATGCACAATACTTTATATACAACTGAAACATGAAACTGTGTTTTTAGCTGCTAGGTGAAAAAAGACACTTCTTAGACCTGCCATATATGTACAGTCAATGGTACCTGCTGTGTTAATCTCCAATCCAATCCAACTCTATTCATATAGCACATTTTGAAAAAAGCAGTGTTCACCAAAAGTTTACAGTCCTCAAAATAAAGTGGTCATAATCATTAAAAAAAGAGATAAATTAAAAAAATTAAAACAGATGAACAAGATATAAATGTTAAAGACACAAGAACACACCACTCAGAGGCTGCTATGTAAAGTATCAAATTATCCCATTCATGTATTCATACGCCACTGAGGAAGCAGTGGGAGAAACTTGGGGTTAAGTGTCTTGCCCAAGGACACAACGGACATGTTGCTGCAGGAAGCTGGGGATCGAACCCTCGACTTTCTGGTTGAGAGAAGACCGACTCTACCACTGAGTGGTGGTGAAAAAGCTTGGTCTCTAGTCTTCATCCTAGTTTATCAAGTGGTTAAAACAACTGGTCGGAAGATCTGATTGATCTTGACGGGGTGTAGGGCTGCAAATGTTCTGAGCCATGCATTTTAAATAGAAATAGTTTCCCAAAGAGAGGTGAATGTTTAGTTTATGAAGAAGATCTAAAAGAAGATCAAATTAAGTTTTGCGTTATCGAATCATTGGTGGGCACGGCCTGCTGCTGTCGACTCCTCCCTCCCTCCTCTGTTTGTCCCGATCCTTCTTCCTGCATCACCCCCTATCCCCCCTATTTTTGTTGTAACATAACAAAGAGTAACATCTTTTACCTGCTCTTTGTAGAGTGTCTCGAGATAACGTTCGTTATGAATTCAATTCAGATTAGGATGAATTGATTTGTTTTATGATCTTCTTTGAATGCTATAAAATGAATTGTAATTTAGGAACTAATAGTTTCAGGGATTTGAGTGGATGAGTCGGCCTTCAGCTCTTTTTTTTTTTTTTTTAAATAATGTGCTTTGTGAATCAATGTCTTGTAGAAGAGCTGCAAATTATTTAAGATTCTTCTTTCACCCCCTTCTCATTCAAGATTTGAGATTTTATGCTTGTATTCAATTTTACTTTGTTTGGTCGATGAATGCAATAAACTTCTATAAATTAATGAATTAATAAGTATGTGGGGCATTAAATAGGTTTGTTGAGTGTCTGTAAAAGCTGACTGAAAAATGAGTTTGATGTTAAAAAAATAAAGTAATAAAATATTAAAATCAACTATTTGCTACAGAATTGCAAGAGGATTAGGGCCGCTGAAAAGATAAATCTGACTTTAATCTCAGAATTCTGAGAAAAAAGTCATAACCCCAAACATCTTTTTTTCAGTGGCCCTAATCCTCTTCAAGCCCAAATTGAGTTTATGTTGCAATAAATTCTGTAAAAGCCTGTTGTTGTGTTTTTGATATGTTTGTTTGATTCATCACTGTCCTCTCACCATGTGACTGGATTGTGGTTCAACTGGATTCAGCAAGAATCACCTGACACTGTGACACTGAAGGGAGAGTAAAGGTTGCTCTTGATAAAAACAAATGTGTCTGTCACGAGACGAGTTTAGAGCTGGCTTCCATCGAAATATGCTCCATTTAAACTTTAACTTCAGTCATCTTATTTATTATCATTTAAATATATCTGACTGGAAAATAATTTGAGGACATGCAAACATCAAAAGGGACTTTCAGACTATGTTACATGTCAGCTCTTTTCCCCATTTTTATTCAAAGAAAATGTTCTGATTTTATATCTGATTTTGTGCAGGTGAATATAAAAAGGTCAAATCTCCTTTTAAGTCAAGGGATCAAAAAAACTGAGGGAGAATATTACCTAAGTTACCACAGTTAAGACAGTCATATGACTGCTGCTAATCTGTAGGGTAATTGACCTTGTGAATAACAATGTTGAAGGGATGGTTCACTTTTCATGCGGGGTTGTGTAAGGCTCTCTCCACTTGTAAAAGTACTACGTACCACACATATCAGTCAGCACAGTCCGAGTTTGAATAGTTCCAGCTCTGATCTGAGATTCTGTACATAGAACACTTCATACAACCCCACTTCTAAAAACCCAACTATCCCTCTAAGATAAATGAAAACCATTTGTTCAAAACCTCAGAATTAGCCACTATAGATATGGGAAAAAAGTATTCTCCATTTCTCATATCATACCGGTCACATGATGCTGAACCAAGAAAAGGAACGAGTCTATAGAAGTGTAACCAGTTATGTAATTAGTGATGATAATGAAGGAAAATAACTCAAAGTCTATGTCAATATTACACACATGTAGAAATTGAATCATTGTGGGGGTGGGGGGGGGTTATTGTGAATGAATGTCTCCAGTTTGTGTGACAGTCAGGTGCTCCTATGACCACAGCACCACACCTGCACATCATATGACAGTGATGTCATTCACTGAAATATGAGCCCTCTACACTCTGTTGAATCCACTTCTTGGATTATTTACCTCTATCTTTTTTCTTATTTTTTTAAACACAAATATTCCTCAACACATCATTAAATATGAAGTTTTCTCAAAGCTTCATGGAAAAACTTTACCCAGAATGTAACAAACAGAGAGTAGAACAGGTGAGTTTGCATGAGGATAGAGATGCTTTTATGGCCTTTTATTAACAGAACACTGACTTTTACGATGAGAGATCTCTATATATATATATATCTATAGCAGCAGAGTGTTTGTTGGGCACAGGGTTGGAACGGTAGCTCAGAAAAACAGACAGTATGAAACTCTTCTTAGCATTTGCATGCTTGCTGGCAGGCTGCCTGGCCAGAAGCCTCACCCGTGCAGTAAGTAAACAGAGAGGAACGCTTTGATTTATACAATGCAATGTTTTCCTTTGTGTCCGCACACAGCAGTCAGGTGCATTTCATGTTATTTTTCTGCGTCAAATATCAAATGCAGTGTTGTAATTTCACACATTTTTTTTCCAAATTGCAGAAAGTCCTCCTCTCCTCTGCTGACAGGCGGGTTCTCTGTTGTAAGTGTATACTGGTTTCAAAGTGTCCTTTAAACAGAGAGGAACGCTTTGATTTATACAATGCAATGTTTCCTTTGTGTCCGCACACAGCAGTCAGGTGCATTTCATGTTATTTTTCTGTCAAATATCAATGCAGTGTTGTAATTTCACACATTTTTTTTCCAAATTGCAGAAAGTCCTCCTCTGCTGACAGCGGGTTCTCTGTTGTAAGTGATACTGGTTTCAAAGTGTCCTTTATGCGATAATTCAGCATTAGACGGTTAGAGGGGAGATTTAAACTCATCCCAATTATTTATTTTTACTCCAGTTTGCACAGAATGATGACCTGTTCGGGACTGGGAAAATACCTCTATATGCAATTGGAGAACGCGATTCGGGTGTTTGAGTTGTCACCCTGGACAACCAGACTTTCACCTATGATGTTCTTGCGAACTATAGAGAGGTGACATGAATGGCAATAAGATTGTATTAATGTAATACTTTTAAAAATAATGAAGTGATGATTTAAATGACAAAAAGCATTCTGAGTAGATTAAATTAATATGTGTATTATACACTAGAAATGTTTATTCAATATATGGTGTTAAGGGAAAAACTCAGGTGTAAAAGAAAATAAAAAGCTGCATGAATTTGAATATAAACATTTCTCTCTTGATCTCTCACCCTCCTTCCATCAGCAAGTCTTGTATCAGATCAACGAAAAAGACAAAACCTGCCAGAAAAGCCCTCTGAAGGCAAACTTTATGCCTATGGCGTCCCACCAGCTCCTCTCTAGTGGCTCAGTCAGTCCTAGGTGACTCATCTAGACCCGGGGAAGGACTCCTGGTCAACACCTGGACAGGAAATCAGCCCAACATAGGTCAGAGAGCATGTCACTTTAGAACCGTCTCCACTATTTATTCTTCTGTCCAATAATATTCTTTTTTTGTTTTGTTTAATCTCTCGCTCTAAAGGAGTTCATGACTACCGTTACTGAATTTGGATGCATTCCCGTCACCTTTGTGTACCAACTCAAGCCTTATGGATGGATGCATGTAAGGTGAGTATACATTCATATCACCAGGGTAATCCTAGACTTTGGCTTTTTAGTTGTCTGCATCTCGTCAATCACAGCGTAACCTGTTTAAAGCCATTTTAACTCTTAAACAGGACCATCATGTTATATTCAAGAAGACTTTAAAATATCGATTGAGACCATGAACTAAAGGAAATGTTCAATAGGGAGAATTACAGACTTATTTTTGCAACAGTAGTATTCTCCCTGCTGGCTGTTTGGGAGAATGCAGGCTGAAGGCAATAAGCATTGGCTTCACCATTAAAACCAGAGGCTACATCCATTTTTTTATACAGTCAATAGAAAGGCTAGAGTTCTAAGAACCAGCAAATTGATTCTGAGTCTTTATGTTCTCTAGCTACTTCAACAACGTCATCGGGATCACAAACCCTGATCAGCTCAACCCGCCATCCTTCTGCTCGGATGCGAACACGATGACTCATGAGGAGCCCGTTGACTTCATGAGCTTGTTCCAACCAAAGAATTAAAAGGTCCTCCTTTCACTTTCAGATTCTTTTTGTAGGCTACATCAAAGTTAAACTTTTCATAAATCTTTTTAACTCTGACAATTTTCTTGAGATTGAATCTGACCAAGGGAATGTTTCCATCATGACAGTAAATTTAGAAAAAAAACTGAAATGAATCACCCGACTCTGCTGTTGGGATTGTTCAGTTTCCACGAGGGAATTATTTCCTTTTTTCTCCTTACAAACAAACGAATGATAATGTTACTGTCTGTTTGATTTGCAAATGTGACTTCAGCTTTCTTTAAAGCATAAACAGTCAAGTTGTTAAACAGTATTTGCTTCTTTCAAAATAAAAAAAACAAATCTGTATTTCATTGATATTCAGTCTGTTTTATTTAACAGTGTGACCTTTAATCATCCTGACTGTACCTCCTGCACTACATGACAGGCCATTTCAAATTTACTTTAGTATAAACTTCAACTTTATAGGAATGTTCTGTGACCTCACCTAACGTCTATTTATAGAAATAAAAGAAAACTAAACAAATATATATATATAAATGGTCAACAGGATAACCAGTGCACAGCCTAAAATCAAGTTCTCAGTGACCATACTAAAGACCATTTTCACACCGCTGTGGGTCACCACTCGTATTATAGGTAGAGTACCAATCGAGAATTATGACGAACTCCTTGGTGTGTCAGGGCCTTTAAACTGTCTTAGCAGCAGCTGAAATATTATCCTATCAGACGCTCCATATTTCAGAAAATAATACATTTAAAGAAAGAAACATGGAGGTAATATGTTCAGATCCATTGAGCACTAATCATTTCTAAGTGATATTAAAAGCTTCAATTTGTGCATTTGTCAAATGGGAATGTTTTCTGTGCATTTGTTGCTGCAGCTGTGTGATTTTAGTCTAACTCCTGGTTTAACTTCTTCATATTTCTCTAATACAGTTTGCTCTGAGTTTTTGAAATATGACAGTCTGCTGACAGCAGTTCATGTTCATGTGTATAAATGTTCACATGCTGCTTACACGGCCCCTTTAATGTGAACGTGCTCATAGAAACCCTGTGTCGACTTATCAGGCTGATAACCTGCTTCATGTGACCTTTTAGTGTGACCTTTGTCAGGGGTTAGTGAAGCCAGATGACCAAAAAAGAATCCTCAGTGTGTTGAACTCGCTTCATATATAAGGAAGTGAATCCCCTTCACAACAGCAGAGTGTTTGCTGCTGCCTGAGAACAGTCGCTTAGACAGAGAAAACATGAAAATCTTTGTGGCATTAGCGTGCTTACTGGCAGGCTGCCTGGCCCAGAGGCCTCACCCGTGCGGTAAGTAAACACTGACAGAGCCAGAAAAGTGATTGTGTGCTTTCTAAATGCTAAAACATTTGTTTTGGCAATGTTTTCCTTTGTTGATTTTACACGGGAATCAGCCATTTGTGTGTTGTGTTATAATTTCACACATCTTTCTTCAAATCACAGAAAGTCCTCCTCTGCTGACAGGCGGGTTCTCTGTTGTAAGTGTATACTGGTTTCAAAGTGTCCTTTATGCGCACGATAATTCAGCATTAGACGGTTAGAGGGAGATTTAAACTCATCCAATTATTATTTTTTTACTCCAGTTTGCACAGAATGATGACCTGTTCGGACTGGGAAAATACCTCTACGATGCAATTGGAGAACGGATTCGGGTGTTTGAGTTGGTCACCCTGGACAACCAGACTTTCACCTATGATGTTCTTACGAACTATAGAGAGGTGACATGAATGGCAATAAGATTGTATTAATGTAATACTTTTAAAAATAATGAAGTGTATGATTTTAAATGACAAAAAGCATTCTGAGTAGATTAAATTAATATGTGTATTATACACTAGAAATGTTTATTCAATATACGGTGTTAAGGGAAAAACTCAGGTGTAAAAGAAAATAAAAGCTGCATGAATTTGAATATAAACATTTCTCTCTTGATCTCTCACCCTCCTTCCATCAGCAAGTCTTGTATCAGATCAACGAAAAAGACAAAACCTGCCAGAAAAGCCCTCTGAAAGCAAACTTTATGCCTTTGGGCGTCCCACCAGGCTCCTCTCTAGTGGCTCAGTCAGTCCTAGGTGACTCATCTAGACCCGGGGAAGGACTCCTGGTCAACACCTGGACAGGAAATCAGCCCAACATAGGTCAGAGAGCATGTCACTTTTAGAACCGTCTCCACTATTTATTCTTCTGTTCAATAATATTCTTTTTTTTGTTTTGTTTAATCTCTCGCTCTAAAGGACGGTTCATGACTACCGTTACTGAATTTGGATGCGTTCCCGTCACCTTTGTGTACCAACTCAAGCCTTATGGATGGATGCATGTAAGGTGAGTATACATTCATATCACCAGGGTAATCCTAGACTTTGGCTTTTTAGTTGTCTGTATCTCGTCAATCACAGCGTAGCCTGTTTAAAGCCATTTTAACTCTTAAACAGGACCATCATGTTATATTCAAGAAGACTTTAAAATATCGATTGAGACCATGAACTAAAGGAAATGTTCAATAGGGAGAATTACAGACTTATTTTTGCAACAGTAGTATTCTCCCTGCTGGCTGTTTGGGAGAATGCAGGCTGAAGGCAATAAGCATTGGCTTCACCATTAAAACCAGAGGCTACATCCATTTTTTTTATACAGTCAATAGAAAGGCTAGAGTTCTAAGAACCAGCAAATTGATTCTGAGTCTTTATGTTCTCTAGCTACTTCGACAACGTCATCGGGATCACAAACCCTGATCAGCTCAACCCGCCATCCTTCTGCTCGGATGCGAACACGATGACTCATGAGGAGCCCGTTGACTTCATGAGCTTGTTCCAACCAAAGAATTAAAAGGTCCTCCTTTCACTTTCAGATTCTTTTTGTAGGCTACATCAAAGTTAAACTTTTCATAAATCTTTTTAACTCTGACAATTTTCTTGAGATTGAATCTGACCAAGGGAATGTTTCCATCATGACAGTAAATTTAGAAAAAAAACTGAAATGAATCACCCGACTCTGCTGTTGGGATTGTTCAGTTTCCACGAGGGAATTATTTCCTTTTTTCTCCTTACAAACAAACGAATGATAATGTTACTGTCTGTTTGATTTGCAAATGTGACTTCAGCTTTCTTTAAAGCATAAACAGTCAAGTTGTTAAACAGTATTTGCTTCTTTCAAAATAAAAAAAACAAATCTGTATTTCATTGATATTCAGTCTGTTTTATTTAACAGTGTGACCTTTAATCATCCTGACTGTACCTCCTGCACTACATGACAGGCCATCTCAAATTTACTTTAGTATCAACTTCAACTTTATAGGAATGTTCTGTGACCTCACCTAACGTCTATTTATAGAAATAAAAGAAAACTAAACAAATATATATATATAAATGGTCAACAGGATAACCAGTGCACAGCCTAAAATCAAGTTCTCAGTGACCATACTAAAGACCATTTTCACACCGCTGTGGGTCACCACTCGTATTATAGGTAGAGTACCAATCGAGAATTATGACGAACTCCTTGGTGTGTCAGGGCCTTTAAACTGTCTTAGCAGCAGCTGAAATATTATCCTATCAGACGCTCCATATTTCAGAAAATAATACATTTAAAGAAAGAAACATGGAGGTAATATGTTCAGATCCATTGAGCACTAATCATTTCTAAGTGATATTAAAAGCTTCAATTTGTGCATTTGTCAAATGGGAATGTTTTCTGTGCATTTGTTGCTGCAGCTGTGTGATTTTAGTCTAACTCCTGGTTTAACGTCTTCATATTTCTCTAATACAGTTTGCTCTGAGTTTTTGAAATATGACAGTCTGCTGACAGCAGTTCATGTTCATGTGTATAAATGTTCACATGCTGCTTACACGGCCCCTTTAATGTGAACGTGCTCATAGAAACCCTGTGTCGACTTATCAGGCTGATAACTTGCTTCATGTGACCTTTTAGTGTGACCTTTGTCAGGGGTTAGTGAAGCCAGATGACCAAAAAAGAATCCTCAGTGTGTTGAACTCGCTTCGTTGTACAGGCCTCATGTTTTTTACTGATTTATCAACTCAACCAAATGACAGCCATACTGATATATTCAGTTTAACACCACTCCCTCTCATGGGATTTTACTTTATTATAAGAAGAAATAGCATGGACCCTGTCAACACAAACAACACTCTTCATCCCCTAACCCACTGTGCACTATACATTACACAATGTTATTCTAGCCTAAAGAAACCTTCACCAGGATTTAGTGTACAGAAAGTAGAACATGTGTCATTCAAAGGAAGAGAAAATGGCACTTATTACCTTTAATCTTGATGCAGGCCTGATAACAGAACAGTGAATTGAACTGACTATCTGTCGGGGTTAAAAATAAAACCAGGAAGCAGGACCTACCCCTGGACCTGAGAGGCTCGTATATAAGGAAGTGAATCCCCTTCACAACAGCAGAGTGTTTGCTGCTGCCTGAGAACAGTCGCTTAGACAGAGAAAACATGAAAATCTTTGTGGCATTAGCGTGCTTACTGGCAGGCTGCCTGGCCCAGAGGCCTCACCCGTGCGGTAAGTAAACACTGACAGAGCCAGAAAAGTGATTGTGTGCTTTCTAAATGCTAAAACATTTGTTTTGGCAATGTTTTCCTTTGTTGATTTTACACGGGAATCAGCCATTTGTGTGTTGTGTTATAATTTCACACATCTTTCTTCAAATCACAGAAAGTCCTCCTCTGCTCAGCGGGGCGCTCACTGCGGTAAGGTGTTCATTGTTTCTTTATGAGCACAATGACGCAGCGTCACAGTTGAAGATGTGAGAGAGGGAGATTTAAACTCACCCAATTCTCCTTCCTCCAGTCCACGCAGAATGAAAAGCTGTGGGTCTATGCCAAATACCTGTACGATGCACTGGGACAACGGATGAGGCTCTTTGAGTTCGGCAACCTGGATAATCAGACTTTCACCTACGATTTTCTTCTGCTCTACAAAGAGGTGACCAAAGCAATAACAGCAACATTAAATATTTATTTTAGAGTGATAAGAAGAGAAAAGTTGCAATGACTGAATAATTTCACACCTTATTCCCTCATACAGTAGCCTATGTCGAACATTTGAGGATTTCAGAGTCAAATTCTAACTTTACATTATTTATTTTTTATAGTTCAAAGAAAACTTATTTCCATTAATACCAAACATCCACATTTAAGTTGAATAGATTGTTTCCTAAGTTGAAATATCGCAATGCTCATTCAGTTAGCCAGTTAACAGCATTTTCCAGTATGTGTTAGCATCAAGCTAATGAACTAAGATAGATATCCTCGTCTGTCTTTGAGAAAATGTGCCCTCACTGCAGAACGATGCACCAGCTACCACTGCTCACAATATGTATAAATATACTTGGTTCAGGATACAATTTTATTGCAATTTTTCACGATTGTCAAAGACATGAGATTGAGGTAAATCTTTTAATTTTGAGGTAAAAAGTTTGTTAAAGTTACGGTAAGTATAATCATACTCATTTTGAAACATCACACCTCCTAAATCTCCAAGTCTTCACTTTCCTGTCCCTAGTCTGTTGGTGTCTCTGTCTGAAGCAGATAGTGCCCCCTGCTGGTTAAAAAAAAAGATAGCACTTCTAGTTTTTTGATATCGATTTACATTGTCCATATTTGTGTTGATGTTTAATTGTATTTAAAGGTATCGTTACAATCCTAGTTTTTAGCACGTGATTTTAACTAAACAGCAAACTTTTATACCATCATTAAATGTCAAAGTCAAGTGTAAAATAATATAAATGAAGGAAATCCATTTTTCTCCTCATCTAATCAATCAATCAATTTTTATTTGTATAGCGTCAACTCATAACAAGTGTTATCTCGAGACACTTCACAAAAAGCAGGTAAAATACCTTACTCTTTGTCTGTTAACATTACAAAAGAGCAGGTAAAAAGACCTTACTCATTGTTATGTTACAAAAAGCAGGTAAAAAGACCTTACTCATTGTTATGTTACAAAAAGCAGGTAAAAGACCTTACTTATTGCTATATTACAAAGACCCGGCCTATCCATCATGAGCACTTTTATCTAATAACTTTTATCCATCAGCATGTCATGTATGAGATCAACCACCACAATCGTACCTGCAAGAAAATCCCTCTGAAGGTGGACTTTCAGCCTCTGGGCATTTCAAAAGACGCCTCTCTGCTGGGCCAGGTGATCGTCGGCAGCTCGTCTGGACCCGGACAAGGACTCCTGGTCAACACCTGGATAGGAGATCTGCCCAACAAAGAAGGTCAGAGAGCATTTGTTGGTGTGAGCTATCTAAAACTGTTAATTCTTCTATTCTAAAACTCTTCTTTTTTTTTTTTTCCCCTATCTCTCACCCTACAGGAAAGTACATGAGCACAGTGACTGAATTTGGATGCATTCCTGTTTCTGTTGCATTTCAAACAAAACAATATGGATGGATGGTCTTCAGGTCAGTTTATAACAGGCACCTAGAACCTATTAAAGAAGTGGTCGAGCCATGTCGCCCATTTGTTTAAGTACCCCCACCCAGGGACGGCGCCAGGATTTGTTTCTCCTGGTGCTGAGGGGGAGCTTGACTTATATCTGGGTGCTATGAAAAGTTGATTTTCATGAATTCATAGTTCTCTCTTTTTTTTTTTTTCAAATAAAAGCAGACATATGTGAGGGGGCTTAACTGGGTATGGACAGATTTGTGATGGGGCTATAGCGCCCCCTAGCCCCAATGTAGCACCGTGCTTGCCCCCACCCCACCCCACCCTCCTTCTGAAGCATTTTAGCTGTCTTCATTTTTTGGAACCAGAAGTTATTTGAACAAGAATGTGGAAATGCATTGTTAGGTCTCTTCCTCTTTGGCATCACAGGTCGCCATGCCTAAAGCATGCCCCGTTTCAGCATCATTAAACTCTAAAAGGGACCATGATGGACACTTTGATTATGATGCTGTATTGAGACTTGAAACTGTGAACAGGATTGTGATAAGTCAATGATATGAGAGTTGGGACGTGTTAATTCTGCCTTTTAGAAACCAGCAAACTGATTTGATCTTTTTCTCTTCAGCTACTTCAACAACATCATCGGGATTTCTGACCCCGGTCTGCTCAACCCTCCATCCTTCTGCCCGGTGCAGACGCTTCAACAGACGAGGAGCCCATTGGCTTCTTTAGTTTGTTCCATCGGAAGAATTGAGGGCCTCCTTTAAACCAATATGTCCAACTCTTCAACATGTGGAACAAGTCAAACTGAGCCTCTAAACCCAGCACTGTAATTCACTATACATAAAATCTAAAATGTTCGATGTCTAGCTATAGTTTAGATTCCCTAACAAAATGTGATTAATGTCACATTATTAATGAATATTTGTTTACTTCTCCAGGATTGATTGAACTTAAAGATGGACATATAATGTTTACGTATTGAGTTCGGGGGCGTAGTGTCCCTGAATGCATCATTTCCTTTTTCTCAAGTAACAAAAACTAACTCTGCGCTTGATATTCCTTCAGCTCTCTTTCAGGGACAAACAATAAAGCTGTCAAACAGTACATGCTCAATGCTGAATTTAAAAATGTATGTCTACTTTTTAACTATCCCATGTGACAGCACATCCATGACTGAACCTCCTTTGCTTCTTAATTAAAAGGTTAATTATCTAAACTTCAAATTTCAAAGAATGTACTGTGAACTTGTTAATTTTATCAATGAAAATAATAAAAATACAACTCAAATATTTTAACCTTGTCTCTGTGTAGAGAAAAAAAGATTACACATATTGATGAGTGTTGAGGTCGTAGGCTGTGTCTGAAATCACACTCATTCCCTAGTCCCTACTCACTATGTAGTGCAAAATATAGTGAGTAGTCATTTCGGACACAGTCTTTGGTCAAATTTTTTTTTTTTGTTTGTTTATGGTGTAATGTTGATTTCTGACATTTGTAAAGGGGACATATTATGAAAAATCCACTTATACAGTGTTTCTGAACATATATAATTTACATGCTCCCTCTTGGTGACATCATCCGTAAATATAATGTCAACTTTCCCTGTTATGCCGATGACACACAACTTTACCTCCCGATTACACCTGGTGACCATTCAAATACAACTACTCTCCTCAAGTGCCTTTCAGAAATAAAATCATGGATATCGGACAACTTTCTACAACTCAACGACGCAAAATCAGAAGTCATAGTAATTGGTCCCCCCATCAAAAAGGAATCAAATTACTGCACACCTAGGAGAACTAACCCATTATGTGAAGCCCTCAGCCAGAAACCTTGGGGTTGTTTTTGACCAGGACTTGTGTTTTGAGCTGCAAGTGAAGAAAGTTTTACAGTCCTGTTTTTACCAGATCAGAAATAAGGCTAAGGTCAAATCCCTGTCGCAAAAAGATCTGGAGAAACTCATACACACCTTCATTTCCTCCAGGCTTGATTACTGTAATTCATTATACACCTGTCTAAGTAAAAAAAATCAATCCACCACCTTCAAACTATCCAAAACGCAGCAGCATGGCTTTCAACAAGAACAAACAAATGTGTCCATATAACGTCAATTTCAGCATCCCTTCACTGGCTCCCTGTTTATTTTAGAATTGATTTTAAGATTCTTTTAATTACTTTTAAGGCACAACATGGGCTGGCCCTCCTTATATTTCTGAGCTTTTAACCCCTTATGAACCAATACGCAGTCTGAAATCCGCTGGCAGAGCCCTACTGGCTGTTCCAAAGTCCAGGCTAAAATCTAAAGGGGACAGGGCCTTTGCTGTTAGAGCCCCCAAACTTTGGAACAGCCTGCCAGAGGAGATCAGACTTGCAGATTCAGTCCCTTTTTTACATCCCTACTCAAGACATGCTTTTACTTTCAAAATGCTGATTTCGTTAACTGTTCTTATTTTTATTTTATTAGTCTGATTTTGTTGTCTGCTTGTTTACTCTCTGCCTGTTGCTTTGTCTCTCTGCTTTTATTTTCTGTTGTAAAGCACTTTGTTACTTGTATAGAAAAGTGCTATACAAATAAAGTAATTCATGTATACAGGCTGTGTAATAATCAGGTGCTCTGATCCCTGAAATAACACACACTGAAGTCGGATTGTGAGAAATTCAATTCCAGAACATTACATTCAGTTCATTACATTTATTTTCAATACAAACGTCCAACAGGATACCCTATAGCACAACCAACCTATGTGCTCAGGCGGAATGTACAACTAGAAAATGAGTAAATAATCCGCTGCAATGATAAGGAGTGCTGTGCTCATCAGCAGCAGCCGCCATGTTGGAAATCCTGTCTCAGCCTAACTTTCAGTCAACCTAACGACAGGCTGAGAGCTGAGGCGGGTTGTAAGCCTCTTGACAAACAGCTACATCTCGCCCACCTGTCAATCATGTCAGCTAAGCACCTAACTATAGATAACACGTTTCATTTTCAAAATCAAAACAGAGACGTTTTAAGATAAATTCATCCCCGGACAGCGTGTGCCAGTGAGGACAATAACTATTCAGACCCATTTAATTTTTTTGTACCAGGCTGTCAACATGTTAATCTATGCTTTAAAAACAGCTTTTTAGCCTGTTGAGTGTCTGCGACTTCCGGGGCTCCTGGAGCCAGCCTCAAGCGGAAACTCAACTCAGTAAATGGGACCATAATTTACAAAATGAACATCATGCTGTATTGAATAAACCCTGAATAGAGATTGAGACCACAGACTCATTAGAAAAATGTTCATTAAGTCGATATATCAAATGAGAAGTAGGCTAATGTTCCCTCCTGGTTTCATACAATTAGATTGCAAATGGAGTCTCCCGCTGCTGGCCATTAAAAGAATGCAGGTTTTTATTTAATCGAGTAAAGCATTGGCTTCACTTCTGAAACCTGAGCTAACGTCCACTTCCTCAATAAGGTGTACAGTGTTATGTACATGTAACAAATTTCACTTTCCAAATTATTAGATTTTTGGATTTTCTGTTTCAGCTTCTTCAACAACGTCATCGGTGTGTGTCCAGGATCCGCTTGACTTCTTTGACTTCTTCCATCGCAAGAATTGAGGGCCAGCTTAAAAAAAACAATGTCTGAAAAATGTTTTAATCAAATCAAACTATGACACAAAATCAGAGCTTTGTCATTTACTTTACATCAGAGATCTGCGGGAAAAAGTGTCAGAGGAATGGCATACTGTAAAGTGGCCACATGTGGGATTCAAACCTGGGCCACCCACTTGGAGTTCTACAGCCTCTGTACATGGTGGCTGTAGTACTCTTTTATAGAACAAGAGACAACATTTCATTGAGAGTATCTAAAATCTCGTACTCACTCATTTCTTCCTATCGCCTAGTTAGCCATATACTTGGACACTACTTTCTGTACCAACAGGCACCAATACCAACTTCTTTGTTGTTCTGAGTTGATTCATGACTTCAGTATTAATTTATTCTGATGGGTTCATGGCATTAATCACTACTTTCAAGCCCTCTTCACTACAGATGATATTCATTTATAAATGATGGTCCAATTATGTGCTAAATAAAAGCACATGATTTAGGGGGCTACCACAGCTGTAACTAGTATAGAGGGTACCCATGTGGATTGTCTGAATAAAAGATTTCTTCTGGCTCCAAAAACATAAAATGGTTAATCCAAAAAACCCAGATTTAAGGATTGGAAGGAGGTTCAAAAACCAATGCATGTCATCACAACATGAACACTTCCTTCATCTGAGCTCCACAATCATAAATCAATATTGCTTTTCAAAACCTCATTGTCCTTAATGAAAAAAAAAAACATGTTCCCCCTACAGAATCTGACTGTTCTCTACTGATGGAAGTTTAATGTCACATTATTAAAATAACTGTTGACGTTGTGTTAGGAATTATAGTTAAAGGTTAACATAATGGGGAGCGCTGGTGGGGCAGTGGTTAGTTTGTGCGCCCTATGTACTGAGCCTATAGTCCTTCAAGCAGGCGGCCCAGGCTCAAATCTAGCCTGTGGCTCCTTTCCTGCATGTCATTCCCCACTCTCTCTCTCTCCCTGATTTCCTACCCTATCCACTGTCCTATCTCTCCAATAAAGGAACAAAAAGCCCAAAAATAAATCTTAAAAAAAAACTGTTTACATAGAAGTTTAGATCAGTGGTTCTCAACTGGTCTGGTCTAAGGACCCACCACCAACTCCTTCATAAAAATTGTGACCCAAATTTCTGTTTTCTTTTCCACCAGTCAGATTCATTGAATGAAGAACAGTGCAGTTAGGACCTTAAATGGAACAAAACACATGATGAAACAAAGAGAAAGAACAAAACCAACATGTTTTAAGAGCGCTTCATAGACTTTTTACACATAATTTTATTCCTGTACATGACCCACTTTTGGGTCCCGACCCACCAGTTGAGAACCACTGGTTTAAATCAAAGCCAATACTGTCTTTTATCAGACAGTATATGTTAAGTAAATAATAGGGCTGGGCACGTTAACGCGTTATTTTCGCGTTAACTCATTAATTGATTATCGCAGACAATTATTTTATCTCGCATTAACGCAGTTTTTATTATTTATTTTCTTATTGTAAAAGTCTGTTGCTTACTGGCTTTTATTTTGTAAAATTCCATCGTGAGCGAGCCTCGTATGTTGCTTACTGCTGCGGCGCTCACAGGAAAGAGGAAACAGTGTTGCCAACCAGGCGACTTTCTCGCCAAATCTAGCGACTTTTTTGGTGTAAGAAACTGACGTGAAAGCACATATTGCTCTGCAGTTACTCAACGAGCAGCGGGTGCTGCCGTGAGCCCCTCCCCCTTCCAAAAGCACTCACAGGCTGTCAGTGTAGCCTCGAGCAGCAGACCCAGCTGCAGTCGGAGAGGAGACCCACACCACTCTGCGTCCACACTGCAACCAATGCAATAAGCTTTAGTTTTGTATTTATTTGCTTTGATTTCATTGTTTAAGTTGAGCAAGGCAATTTACAATAAATGTGCGCTATACACTACTTTTGAATTCATTATTGGATTTTGCGTATCACTTTTAATCGTTGCCCAGCCCTAATAAATAATCATGAGGCATTACCTGAGTGCTGACTGCTCACTGTGTGTATCCCTCCACCTCCTCCAGGTGTTCTGAATGAACACCTGGAGGAGGTGGAGGGATACACACAGCAGACACTGTTTGTCTTGATTATTCAAGCTGGTTCCTCTGATTCAAACAACAACAGACTCTTATGTCACAGGCTGCATGACACATTGAAACATACAAAGTATATGTTCCTTCAAATGTGTGGACACAAATGTTTGGGAGGGTCAAGTTGAAAACCTTTCTTACTAGTTTTTACTACAAAGAACCATTTCAGGCAGAGGCTGAAATTTTTTTGATTTTTTTGCACCGGGGTGCAGTGGTTAGGTCTGCTGCCTCACAGTGAGGAGGTTCCTGGTTTGATTCGGACAGGGTCTCTCTGTGGGGTTAGCCTGTTCTCTCTGTGCATGTGTGGCTTTTCCCCTAGTTCTTCCTCCTACTAGTACCATCTGGAGAAAATTATCAACCCTGTCGTTAAAATCCCGCCTCTTCAGTGTCTGCCAAGAAAAAAGCTGGCCCTTGTCCACATGTGGTTGACAACCTCTGTAATAAAATGTAAATCTCTCCCATGTGAATTATGTAAAAAGAGATAGTAGGGCCTAATTAAAAGTTTAAAAAGTAAAAGTGAGGCCTCATTCTAACCCAACACAAGCTGATGCTGAAAGGAGAACCCGCTGCATTATTACTGATACCTTTATTTTTAAACCCTTGTGTTGTTGAGCCTCTGAGGTGTCAAAGAAAACCTGGCAGTGGAAGCAGACTGGGAGTGTCACTAGCTTGTTTATAAGGAAGTGAGCTCTCCTGAGCGACAGCATATCGCTCTCTCTGTGCAGACGGGAGTGTCACAACAACATGAGAGTATTCGTCCTGTTTGTGTGCCTGTCAGTGGGCTGCCTGGCCCAGAGACCACAGCAATGCAGTGAGTACAACAACGCAGACTTAAAACCTTCATCATCCGATTGTACTGTTCTGATTGCACTGAGGCGTTTATGCATGTTGTAACAAAACAAAACCCTAACTTTATCCGACAGCATCCCCACCTCTGATGTCGGGAGGACTCTCTGTGGTAAGTTTTCTTATTTTGATCTGTCCATACCAGAAATAATGCAGCTCTGTAAGCCTTCAAATGACCACAAAGTGCATAACAGAGATTTCATTTTTCCTGTTAATTTAGAATAATATGGTCACTCCAAGCAATAATATAATCAATGTGCATTACAAGAGGGCACACTATACAAATGCATTTGTGTGAAATATACTTACAATGCATCCAGATTGGAGAATTTGAACAACAACTTTTGTCATAGAACGAGCCTTAAAAAGGTCATATTTTTTATATGTAAGCTCAAGCTGTTTTTCAAGGTGTCAATATCTAGAGCAGTGATTCCCAACTGGTGGGTTGGGAATGTGTGCCAGTTTTTCGCTTCTGTCGCATGTTTTGTACCGCCTGAGGTCCAAACTGCACAATTTTCAAGCATATAAATCTGATTGGTCGTAATATATCAGAAATTAGAGAACCACTGATCTGGAGTATGTTTTGCAGAAAATCGCTTAAATTCATTTCTAGAGCACTTGTATATAAGATGTACTTATATGATATAAATCTAAATAGTACTTTAATTAGGAAACTGTTTTTTTTTCAAGGTAAAAACACGACTATAAAGCTCATCACATGCTAAAATATTTCTCACATAGTAGTTACACAATTCAAAGTATTCAAAGTATGGCTAGTATGTAGAAGTACTGAAAAAAGTATCTTTAATTGGACGCGGGTATGCTTGCTGTATTACAAAAACTTAATTCCGTTCTTGTACTTTTTCAAGTCGACCGCAAATGAGAAGCTGACGGTCTACGGCAAGTACATGTACGACGCACTGGGGCAGCGAATTCGCCTCCGAGAGTTTGGATTTTACGAGAATAAGACCTTCCACCTGGATATGCTTCTGCTCTTCAAACATGTAATGTAACTTTATGTGTAACAGGGGCGTCCATATAAGGAGATGTGGTGTTGAACTCAAACTGTCTCTTCTCCTGTAGGGCGTCTTGTATAAGATCAACTCCAAGAATCAAACATGTTGTAAGAAGCAGCTGAGTGCAGACTTCCATCCATTGATGATCCCAGAGAACGCCACCCTCCTGGGACAGGTGGTGCTGGGCAGCTCCTCCGGTCCAGGGCAGGGGGTTCTGGTGAACACCTGGGCAGGGGAGATGCAGCTGAAGAAGGGACTAGGTGAAACTACAATAGAGGAAATTAGGACAGAGAAAATGCAGTGTCATGTGGTGTTATGTAGCACGTGACTCTCTGTGAGTTTTTGTTCCTGTTCGACTGGTTCTGTTGCCTAAGCTAACTTGTGATCAAATTCTTATTCTGTTTTTAGCGAAGTACATGAGCACTGTCACTGAGTTTGGATGTGTTCCAGTCAGCAATCTGTTTCATACAGACAGAAGGGGGTGGATGGTGACCAGGTCAGTGAAACTCACACACAGAGGTTAACATTTTAGGTTTAAGAGAGACTAGCTTGAAAAAATAAATAAATCTAGAAAATGGAACAAAGGAGACTGCATAGACCTTTTTAAAGCTCTGTTGGCTAGTCAAACAGGGGACACATTTTGCTGATTGAGTTTTAGCATTGTGCCTAACTAGAGCAGAGTTATCAGTGGAATCTATGCATGCCCTCTAACGCCGAGTCAAACAATCGGCTGGGACAAACTTTGACAAAAATCTGAAAGAAAAAATTAAAAACACTAACACACATTTTCCAACTAAATGTCATGGGTTGGAGCGCTGGTGGTTCAGTGGTTAGTGCGCGCCCCCATGTACAGAGTGTTTAGTCCTCTAAGTCGGGCGGCCCAGGTTGGAATCCGACCTGTGGTTCCTTTCCCGCATTGTCATTCCCCTCTCTCTCTCTCCCTGATTTCCAACTCTATTCACACTGTCCTATCTTTCCCATAAAGGACCAACAAGCCCCAAAATAAATCTTTAAATGTCGTGGCACGCATTGGAATTGTTGAATCAGAGTTTTATGTTGTTTGATTTCTTAAGAATTTCATTAATCAATCTTTTTGCTTATAGCTTCTACAACAACGTCATCGGACTCACTGACCCGGGCCAGCTCCTCCCTCCATCTTTCTGTAAGGATGCCCAGATGGAGAAAGAGGACGGAGGGGACCCAGTGACCTTCTACGACTTATTTTAAAAACTGTGCTCTGTGATGGTGACTCCTCTATATGACTCTATGCACTTTTTGTTTTTTAAGGAAGTAATTTGCTCAGGGACACATCCATACTTTTCTTTGGCCAGGGGGGACCTATGTGGGGGTGGAATGAACGTTGTGTGCACTTTTACTTGTATAACTACCGTGATTAAAGAATCTAAATCTTATATTATATATATCTTTTGAACTTTACAAGGTAATGGGAAGACTCTGATGAAGGCCACAAGCTGAAACGCGTCGGTCTAATAAAGTTAATGAAATAGATCTTCAAGCCTTTCGCTCTTTATTCCAGACCAACAGGTGTTGCAGTGATGGAAGCTGACATTTCTCTAATAAGCTCTACAACCAGAAACGGGGTTAAAAGTAGGATACGCTGGTGGCGCAGTGGCAGGGTGTGCGTCCCATGTACTGAGACTCTCATCTCAAGCGGTAGGCCCAGGTTCACTTCCACCTGTGGCCCCTTTCTGCATGTCATTCCCCACTCTCTCTCCCTGGTTTCCAACTCTATCCACTGTCCTATCTCTGCATTAAAGGCACAAAAAAGCCCCCCCCAAAAAAAGTAGGATACACATTGGAGATGCTTTTTGAAAAATGAAGAGAGGTTAGAACGCTGAAAGGTTTCGAGACCGATGCAGAGCTGGATAAACACTGAAGCTTCAGTGCAGTGGCGGTTCTAGACCACTTTTACTGAGGGGGCCAAACTGGGGCCAGTTGTTTTGTCAGAGGGGAACATTAAACCCAGGTGAAAAATAGACAAAGATGATCACTTTAAAAAATATAAATATTATTCCAAATAATAGCGAACATCATTAAATACCATGATTTATATTTGTTTCAGTAAAATAATTTAATACTAGATTGTGAGTCCGGTTGTTTAGTCAAATACTGTATATGGAGGGGTGGCCACAGGGGGGACCAAGCTCCGTGTTAGAGGGGCACTGACCCTTGTTGGTCCCTGCCTAGAAACACCCATGCTTCTGTGTCTGCACCATGGCAACTGGCATTCAAATAGACTCTATAGATAGGAGGGGGCAGGGAGAGACAGCTCTCTTCGAGCTTTTAAATTTGGACCGCAGTACCCATTGTAAACACTAGGTTTCAGAGTTACATATTGTTCCTTTAACCAATCTATCCAACGATCAGACGGCTACACAAGCCAACAGACGTCCAGCAAAAGGAAGAGAGAAAGTACCTACATGCAGCAGAACCCTTTTTCTACTGAGAACCAAAAGAGTCAGGAGACAGTGTTCAGAAAGAGAACAATGCCACGCAGTCAAACAGAAACAGTATCTTATCCTCAGAGGATACTACCCAGCATCCTTCTGAAGTACCACAGCAGACTAACAACAGTCACCACTAGTGTTTGAAATAAGCTAATGTCTTAACCTCAGCCTTACCCATGAGGTAAAGCAAAAATAATGCTCAGAAAACAAAATGCTCAGGCAAGATATAAACCGCTTAGAGTTAAAAAAAAAACGCTGTAGGAAGTTCTTCAGAAGAAAATAAAGGAAAGCTAAAAAACACGAAGGCTGCGCTGACCCAGGCTGAGGAGGCTTTAGGGAGCCGAGAGACGCCACTGACAGGAAGAAACGACTTGTTTACTGGAGACTTGACAACCTACAGGCTCCTGGGAAGAAAAAAAACACAAGCAGATGGAATAATAGACATAGTTACGGATATAGAGTGTCAGATGTGAACATTCAAAAGGTGCAGAAAACTCCCCACTTCCCAAGATTCAAAAAGTTCTCCAAATGAACATGACGATGATTTGGGACTGTCGGGAACATAGGAGTATGTAAAGTGTCCTTCATGACTCAGTTTGTTTTCAGCCTGGTTTGGTCAGTGTGGAGCCACAACTTCTGAACGGGGTGCTCGGGGGCTCGTAAAGCCATGAAACCATATTGTGCTCATATCAGATTTTAACCCATAACATTATTAGTGGAAAACAATCAAATCTGAGAACAGCACTGAGTTACAGTTATGTGGATGGATGTGTGTGAGAGAAATCATGTTGGGTTAGGGTCTTGGGGGCTTTTTGTTGACGTGAGCAATAAAGGCAATTATCACTAAATTAAACCCCCGCAAATCTGCTCTGAATGTAACAAGAAACTGATGACTGCAGCACCTCACAGCCCGGCCTTACAGACACCACAGGCCTCTCCACCAGTCATGGTTTCTATGACAGAAACTGTGAAAGCTAACTGGACACTTGACATTCCAGGACACAGTGTATCATCATCTCATGAAGAACTTTGTGAACCCAGTTTTTGTACGTGCTCAAACATATCTTACATGTACTAGTTTCACGCACACACTTTTGGGACACACATGGAGGGAAGAGAGGAGTTTAATCACCCCTCTATTCTCTGCTCAGAGTTTAAAGATCACCATCTTAGTAGAGTTTGTTTGTGTTTCTTTTCTCTTAGCTTACAGGAGGAGTAACTCCCTAACCCTGTTACTGGAAACAGCTTATTTATATTTGGGAAAATCTATCTTAACTGCCAAACTTTGACTGTGGGAATCTTAATCCTTGTGGGAAATCATCCAAATAAAGAAGGCTTAACCTTTCTGCAGGAAAACAGCACTTTAGTGGAATCCTAGGCACACAGACAGATTTATATAAATACATTGATAAGTGGTAACCAATTCACTAAATAAAGGTCTTTCTAAAGTCTTTGTTACCTTATTTCTGTTTCTGTAATAAAACAATAACTTACGCCTGGATCCAGTAAAAGCAGCCGGACTCTCTCCCTGGTGAGAATATAAACCCTCTCAGCTTTTCTCCTTTGACAACTGAGGATGTTTAAGTGCCTGCAGAGCTACACAGAGGGGCAGGACCTGAGATAGATCACCAGTCGAAACAATTCATATAAGAGCCCAGGTGGGAAGCGTCCTCTGTAAACTTCTTTCAAGGCAAGTTGTTTAAAGTGTTGCATCGAAAAATGTTCCAAAAAAAAAAAGGATGGTAAATACAAAAACAAGTTGCCATGCACGAGGAGCAAAATGAATTTATTTCTTAATTAACTTGTTTTAATCTGCTAAAGAAAAGGCAGAGTGTCCCATCCTGTGACTCTCTCAAATCAAAAGTTTTCTTTTCACGTGTTCAAGTCTTTTTGCTTCGGTTTCCTTTATTTTCAATTAACTGAATTTAGCCTCCTTTAGTACACACAGTAAGTGTGTAAAATAGGTCATACTGACTGAAATATTCTAGTGGCCACTAGATGTCAGTAAATGACAAGTAATGAAACGAAGAGCAGGACTTCTAGAGCTTTCAACTTCTAACCCTTAAAAAAAATGCTGAATGGATAGAGATGAAATTGCACAAAATAATAGAAAAATCATCAAACTGTGTGTGTGTGTGTGTGTGTGTGTGTGTGTGTGTGTGTGTGTGTGTGTGTGTGTGTGTGTGTGTGTGTGTGTGTGTGTGTGTGTGTGTGTGTGTGCCTCATTTACTACTTTGACTTTTCTTACACCAAACCATGAAGCCCCTAAGCAGTACGAGTAAGCATCTTAATATCATGGGAAAAACATTGTTTGTATCCCAAGATATCAAGATAAATAAGTCCAGATCCTGAGAAAAACACCGGAAATCTCATCTGTTCTAAAGGGAAAACTAAGTCACGTAACACACGCTTCCGTACCAAACGCATACACTGTACATATTTTTATATTAATATATTTTATTATTCCAGTCAATTTTCCTCAGCAGTAAGTTTGACTATTTACTTCTTATTATTCCTTTTTTTAATTATATTTCTATATTTACTGCAATTAAAAGAAAACCTGTTTTTGTAACAAGTTTAAACCTCTCATTCTGGTTTTTGAGCTTGTACATTTTGTGGGAGATTTACAAAAGATATTAAAAACTAACATCAATGAAGAATGATTGAGTAGGGGATAAAAACGAAGATCTTTTTATGCAGTTGTGTTGAATAATTTATTCAATTCAAACTATGAGGAAAGCAGAAAGTTACTGCTTTACAACAGGCCGAGGAGTTACTTGGTAGCAGTAGTAAACCACTCCCCTAAGCTCTCCAACCTCCTGCACCCCAACGTCTGCTGCCTTCACACCGTGCTCCTGCAGCGCTTCAGTCTCCAGCCACGGCAGCCGGGCATCAGGGTCCTCGTCCGAGAACTGGAGCAGAGATCCTGAGCTCCGCAACACCTCCAAACACTCCTTCAGCACCAGTCCTGCCTTCCCCTTCCCTTCCTTAGACCTCAACAAGGCATCCGTGGTGCCCTTGTCGACGATAAGATCCACACTGCCGGGACCAAAGTGTTTGTGAAGCTGTGTGCAGTCCAGCTCTATAAACTCAAGCTGAGAGGAGAGACTGTGAGGTTCAATGGCTTTAGATCGGACGTGCTCCTGCATTAGTCTCACAGCTATCGGGGAAATGTCAGCACAAGTGACCCGGACTGGTACAGGAGAGTGTTTGTAAACACAGGGCCCGAGAGCTGAGGTGCCACAGCCCATATCCAGGATTTGGAGAAGGGCATCAGGGTTGGACTTGGTCTGCAAGAGGGGCAAAATTAAGTCACGGACGGCGTCGAACCCGAAGAACCACTCAAAGTTTTTGAAGGCGGTAGTCTTGCTGCTGTTCTCCGTGTAGAAGCGGTCCCATGTTGCTTTCTTGTCCATGTTATTAATGAGGTCATCTAGGCAGAAATAAAGAGAAGACTAAATAAGAGCTAGTAAATGAACATTAGCAGTAAACAGAGATACTACTAACATCAGTGCATGCATACTTCTTATTATACTACTAATATCAACATGAATTTACATTTATAAAGTTTATTCATTTCATTTAAAGCTTAATAACTTATACAACGTAGGCTATGTATACTATAAAATTACATTTCTAAAATGACCATAAAAAAGTATAAGTGTAAATGACAACGGCACATAAACAGGAACACAAATGTGCACACAAATTAAGCTCACGTCAAATGAATAGTGTTTTCCTAAATATACTTCAGCTAGCCATCTAACTTAATACCGGTGTTACGGTTCAAAGTGTGACCATGTTAACTGGCGACTTTCATCCGAAGGAGTCTTGGGTTGTCATAGTTACAACCATAGACTGTAAATAATATTAAAACCGATGTTAAAAAGGTCAAGTGTCCCAACGACATAAACATGCCTCGTTGCCTTTTTGACACTACAATAAAAAAACTAAACAAAATCAAAGAAACAAAAAAAACTTTACGTATCTTTTCACCAAAGACACGTTCGGCTGAAAGTCACCGATTAACACGGTCACTCTTTGAACCATAACACCTAAGCTGACCCAATGTAGTTAGCTCACTAGCTAGTTGACAGCAGTAGCACTGTGTGTAACTTGAAATCACAACCCTGATAAAGACAACGTTGAGTCAAAATAGCTCTCTAAAGTTAGATATTAAATCTGGGTTGAAACGTACTTGTAAGAGAGGAGTGTTGTCGTAAACACGCTGCCGCTACACGTTGCGATAACCTCAGCGACTTTGAAAACGGAGACATTTTTCCTTAGATCCTCTACTGCAGGGCCAAAGTAAGAGCTCTCACTCTGACGTTTTTTCTTGAGGCCTCCAGGGAAATAAACGCACACGAAAACGACAGTGAAATAAGCGACGATCTTTGATTAGCTCAGGGTAAAATCTAACATCAATATTAAGCATTTGCAAAGTTGACTTTCATATTCTTAATTTCCTCAGTTTACCAACTACTGAAGAGAGAATCTGATTAAATGATAATGTAAACAACCACCTGCTGAGTACTCAATTCAACATTGTTAAAAAAACAAAAAAAACATTACAACAAATAAGATGTAAATCCCTTTAATAAAACTCAATGAAACGCAGTGTAACAAAGGAAAAGAATCCAACATAAAGCAAGTAGATAACATTTACAACCACAAAAGAAAAAAAAACCTGTACAACTCTAAATGCCTGGAGTCACTTCTATTTTTCCAAAGATTTTTTTAATTAACCATTTTGTGATGACCGAGGATCAACTCGAGGGGAGGGGGGGAAGGGAGGCATGAAATGTGATTTTTATCTTTTATTTTCTTTTTTTTTTCAAATACACAAGTGTAGTCTCATACACAGATGTATGTTTCATCCACGTGGCTGCTGAAGTTTTTTTTTTTTTTTTTTTTTTTTTAATCCACCACTGTAGCGTTCAGCAGGAGAAGGATGAGGTGGGCTGTGGCCGGGGAGTGTTATTTGTACAAGATGTCGTAATGGCCGGGTCTATAGAGGAGGAAGATGCGTGGGTCTCCGCCTTCAGGGAAGACGTGGTGATTGACAGTTCCTCCCTCTCCTCTATCCATGTACTCCACCAGGATGGAAATGTCTAGGGCCTGGGCCAAGGCGATGATGTGAATGTGGTCACTTTCTTTAGACATTGGCTCTACCTCCTTGAAAAGAAAAAAAAGAAAATACATGAAGCATGGGTTTGAAAACAGAATTCCAAGGGTTGAACATTAAACACAGTTATCATTTATTATTGCATTCTTATGTAGCCAAGGATTGCTGACTGACTGCGTATTAAAAACAAATTTAAAAAGTCATATGCATACAAAATCATGCATGAGCTGTTGGGCTGCAGGGTGCAGTGGTAAGCGCTGTTGCCGTACAGCGAGAAGGTTCCTGGTTGGAATCCCTGTTGGACAGGGTCTCTCTGTGAGGAGTTTGGCTTCCTCACACAGTCTGAAGACGTGCTCGTTAGGTTAACTGGTGACGCTAAATTGCCTGTAGGTGTGAATGTGAGTCTGTCTCGTTATGTCAGCCCTGTGTTTTTTGTGTGTTTTTGTTGTGTTTTTTGTTTTTTTACTTTTATTCACCAAAACGTGCATACACACACACTCACACAATAAAAAAAAGAGATACAAACAAGAGGGGAACTGAGGTAAGATACAGTTTTGCAATCAGATTTAGACAAAAACAAACAAACAAACGGAAAAGGGTCAGTAAATAAAATGAATGAATTAGAAAGAGGGACAAAATAAGTGAATGGGCAAACAGGACAAAGAAAAACATGGGGACAGTACAGAAACAAAATTATGTCAAATAAAACTAGTGGGATAGGTTGTACACATGGTGACAATGTTTGGTGTTATTTGTTTTGTTTTTCACTTTGTATGGGTGCTAACATGATGATTGCCAAATACAGACTGTTTGTAAATTATATTAAAATTGTTGTGCTAAGCCCTGTGTTTGACTGGTGAACAGTCCAGGGTGTACTCCACTTCTCACACAATGGCAGATTGGATCGGCTCCAGCCCCCCGACCCTGAACAGTAAAAGCGGTATAGATATAGGCTGGACATTGAGCTGTTATTTCAAACTAATTAAACATCTTCCAGCTACAGTTTTACTCAAGTAGCCAATTCAGGTTCTGGAGTTCAGGGAATCAGATTGAAGCTGGTGATGTTTTAACTTCAACTGAAGACGCTCCCTATGATACTAAGCGCTGTCCATAATTTGTACGGCTATTAGAATGTGTTGCGGAAACTTAATAGAAAAAATTCAGAGGCTTTTTAAGGTCGGATAGAATCATTGGGCAAGGAAACTAGTTCAGATATAACCAGTTCGCTTGCCCACTCTCATCGCTGCAACACCTGTTGGTTTTCCGTTTGCCAGGAAAAACTGAGGGCCATCCAAAGTGGCCATGTGGGGGTTTCATAAAACTGCCTAGTTCTCTGGTCAAAACAAATCCAGAGCATAAAAATGATATGTGGACACTCGTACAAACAATAATGTACATATTATAACTTTCATTATGTAAAACCCTGAGCTGTGCAGACTACCAACTATATATCTGAACTCAACATCACACAATGAAAGAACAAAACTCGCAGAAAAAAAGTCAAAATCAAGTCGATATGAGCAAGGAAAGTCAAGTAAATTCAATCTGGCTGGGGAGATGCTAAGCTTCTAAAAGACCCTGTAAGAGGTTTGAAGCCTTGTGTAGGACAAATTAAAAAACATTTTGCAGACCCAGAAACATAAAAAGACACAACCTTTAAAATAGCAGCATAACAAAGCCAGATTTGGCAACAGACTGCAGGAGGTTTGGATTAACAGTAATGTTGGTGTCATTGTGTATTTGAACAAACAAAAGAAAGAATTTATTTCAAAAGTAGAAAGAAAAAAGCTGCGTTCACCAGGGCTGCATGATTCTAGCAAAAATTGTGAATCAGGATTTTTCTTCCTGAGCACTGAGGTCATGATTCTCTCACACGATTCTTATAATTTATCTTAAAATAAAAAATGATTAGTGCTCCGAGACCGAGACAAGACCAAGATATTTAGGGATCGAGACCAAGACCAAGGCAAGGCCACACTTACACTTTAAGAATTAATAATTTTCTACGCACAACCAAAGCTCACAATTAGTGCTCACAGTGCACGGTCCAATTGCGGGGCATGACCTGAAGCAGGCCTTGACAATAGTTGCTAATACTTTGAAAACTCACACTGACTGAGGTCGAGTTCTGTGCATTTCAGTTGTCTCATACGCATGGCTCTCCCTCTCTCACTCACATCCACACACTCAGCATCACACCAACAAACACAAGCTAACCAGCTAGCTTAATCAAAGCAAATATTCTCTGTCAGCTGGAAGTCCGCAGCTATTTCCTGCTAACGTTTCTCTCATTCATATCTTTCATGATAAACCGGGTGAGACGCATTAAAGAGGCACGCCTGCCATTGCCATGGTGCTTTCAGATGCTGTCTGACAGCTTGCACAGGCACATTCAGAAAAAATCCATTGAGTCAGGGAATCAGCTGGTGGCGCTGTTTTTACTGTGCAAGTGTTTGTAGCTGTAAGACCAAAATTTGAAAATGTCAGAAATTAATGTGACTGGATGGGAACAGCTGATTAGGCCGTCATCAGCCGCCGTGCTCCCCTGGACACAGCATGACAAAATACCTGCCTTTAGAATCAGTCTCAAAAATTGATTCTAAAAAGGTCTAAAATTGAGCAGTGTACACCCAGCTTAAGAGACTGATCTAATAATGATGCAATACATGAAAAAACTCCCTTAATCTCAGGTTCAATGACCACAATGGTGATTTTCTTTCCCCTTCATCTAAACAGCTTTAATGTTAGAGGGAAAGTTGATCATAATAAAAAAAATCCATCAAACATTAAATGTAAAGAACCGACCTGCTGACAGAATTCCTTGACAGAGCGGCCTCCCTCTATGAAGTGCTGAAAGAAGCCGTGCTCTCGCTGCAGGTAGCCTGAGGTGAGAAGCCGCAGGTACACCACCACGTAGTCGGACACGTTCTGGTCGTTGAAGGAGTTCAGCAGCTCCTGCAGGGTCGGCTGTTTCTCAGCCAGCTCGATCAGGTCCATGAACTTGGGAGGAGAGCGATTATTTACGTCATTAGATTGATGTGGACATGCCAAAATCTTGCCAACTTACTGTTCAACCGGCCAAATCGAGTGTTTCTGGCTGCTCTGACTGGTTCAAAATCATGATGTTCTTTGGCAGATGAAGGAGTCAGGGTTGGCAGGGAAACGGGAAAATTACAGTTTACTCTGATAACGTAACCTAAACAGTATCCAGTAGTTATTCCTACAGGATGTAAGATATACAGTTTGTAGTGTGCAACCAAAGAGACAGCTTTAACTCAGGATCAATGGAAGCATCAAGAAAAGTCTTTTTGTCAGCTACTCTACACAAATCTTATGCTTGATCAAGCCCACACTTATGTACTGATTCACTGTTAAAAACAAGACCAAACTGGGGAGCTGGTGGCGCAGTGGTTAGTGCGCGCGTCCCATGTATGAGGCTATAGTCCTCCAAGCGAGCGGTCATTCCCCACTCTCTCCCTCCCAAGATTTCCAACTCTATCCACTGTCCTATCTCTCCAATAAAGACATAAAAAGCAAAAAAAAAAAGTTTAAAAACAAGGCCAAACTCATACGTATCACAACCACAGCTGCCACAATAATTGTTCTCCCCTCACCCAACCTAACAGAACTCAACCACAAGGCCATCGCTATGGAGCTATTTTTGTGGCAAAACTATTTGAATATGTGTACACAGATCCACAAATGTGTAAAAAGATCCACAAATGCATACACATATCTTCAAATGTGTGTCTGACGATCTGCAAACTCTGCAAAGCCCAGGCTGGGTGCTACCGCGGACAGTCAGCCTAGCCTGTGAGACTGAACTCAGGGCAACAAACCCCACAAATGTGTCTGCAGATAGTCAGACACACATTTGAAGATATGTGTACGCATTTGTGAATCTTGCACGGCAGGAGTGTTGCAAAAGTCATGTGTAAAATGACAACCAATGTAGAGGCCCGCCGCAGTTGTAAGCAATCATTTGTGTGTATTTTCAGGATTTACAGCTAAAAAAGTTCACTGCCATTAAAAAAATAAGTAAACATTTCAAAATTGGTCTACATATTTGCAGATTAGTTTACGCATTTGTGGATCTGTGTGTGCATATTCAAATAGTTTTGCCACAATAATAGCTCATGTCGCATGTCGCATGCAACACAACCTCAATAGATGAACTTTGGGGCCAATACAGATATAAGGGAGAAATAA